CAAACCTGTTCCTGAGATGGTTCTGAAATTCAGGTGGGATAGACTCAAAGTCATATTTTGGTTGCCTTGGATTTGGTTTAATTTTCCTCAACTTCAGCTTGAACTTGCATATGAGAAGTTGGTGGTCTGTTCCACAATCAGCTCCTGGTCTAGTTTTCACAACTGATATTGAGCTTCTCCAGAGGTTCTTTCCACAGATGTAATCAATCTGATTCCTCCTATACATACCATCAGGTGAAATCCAAGTATATAATCTGTGTTTATGTCTCTTAAAAAATATATTTGCTATGAATAAGTCATTGATTGTGCAAAATTCGATCATTCTCTCTCCAGCTCTATTTCTGTCACTGAGTCCATGTTTTTCAAGTACTGAATCTTATTCTCTGTTCCCAACTTTTGCATTCCAGTCACCCATTATTATCAATGCATCTTGATTGCATGTTCGATCGATCTCTGATTGTAAAAGTTTGTACAACCATCCTCACTCTCCTTGTCTGAATTTTCTTTCCTCAGTGTATAATTATATTGCCCCCAAAGTTTCCTATATAATTTTCAATTGCTGTTGTACTTTAATCCCATTTATCTAACATCTTAAAAGAGCATAATGCTCAAGGCAGATATTCTTTACTAGTTAAACTAAGCCATTGCTTGATTTTAAGAATACTTCAGGGGATACTTTGCCCTTAATGCTTAGAGATTATCTCAGGGTAACAGTGCCAGAGATTTATCAACTTCAATGGCTCCAGAAAATTTGACTACATGAGAATTTGAATCTCTATTCTGTATATTCCCCTTTTAATCAGGATTTGTCTATGGAATCCTTGATTAAAATGTGTAGTAGTGTTAGTAGCCAGGCCCCATTCACTTCCTCTGGCGCCATGGTGAAGGGAGCAGTTGCTCAGAGACAATCAGCTACATATTCCATTTCTTTATCCTATTCCTGACTCTCCTCCTTCCTCTTTTGCATAATTCTGATAGAAACGAAAATGTATTGGATGGCTCCCTGTTAGCTTTTAAGACTCTAGGTACTATGCAACAAATCACGAGGGAGAACAGTACACATTATTAAGCTAATAAACTGGCATACCATATGAAACCAAGGCCTTAAATCTTTACAGGAATCAAATTCAAGGTTTTTTGTTGTACATAAGCAGACTCAGTAACTGCTCTGTTTGATGTTGTCACTGTTATAAACATATTTATCATACTATTTTTTAAATATTTGTGATTTTAACAAAAATTTACAGAAAGGCTGGATTTTCATTTATTCATTGTTGCACAATTTTCTTTCCTCTCCCTCCCCAATCAACTTTAATACATCTCTTATTCTAGATTGTTGGCATAATGCCTAATCATACATTTCTTTCAGACAGTCCTTCCCTCCATCTGTTCCAATTCATTGCTCATCATACAGCCACTCTTTTCCTACTCTCCACTCAACCCCTCATGTTAGTCTTATTTTATAACAGCAGTGTTATGCAGTATTTGTCCTTTTGTGACTAAGATATTTCGTTCAGTATAATGTCTTCTAGGTTCACGCATGTTGTATTTTGCAAGTTCATTGTTTTTCAATGCTGCGTAATAGTCTGTTCATTGTGTGAATGTACCAATATTTCTATCCATTAGTTTACTGATAGACTGATTACCTATCTTGTGACAATTCTGTAATTGGGTTGTTGAACTTTTTCCTGTTGAGGCGCTGGAGTATTCTATAAATTTTGATATAAGTCCCTTACCAGACATATCATTGCCAAATATTTTTTTTTCTCAGACAGTGGGTTTCCTTTACCATTTTGGAGTTTTTTGATGTGCATAAGGATTTCATTTTTAGGTCTCATTCATTTATTTTATTCTTTCCTGGTTATAGGTTTTTCATTGTGTTTAGAAGTCTGGATTAGGGCTTTTAGAGTTGTTCCTAGCTTTTCTTTCATGAATTTTATAGTCTTTGATTTTACTCCTATGTTCCCAAGCCACCTTGAGTTGGTTTTTGTGTACGGTGTGAGGCACGGATCTTGCTCAATTCAATTCCATTGCTGTATATGTCCGTTGTTATACCAGCCTTGACCACCACAGCTGCGTAATAAGATTTGAGATCAGAGTGTGTGATTTCTCCTACCTTGTTCCTCTTTTTCACTATACTTTGCTTATTCTATTTTTGATAGTTCAACGTTCTACAGGTGTATAACTTATGGACAGTAATTATATTGGTCAGCTATGAAACCCTACCTTTAGTGAACACATTTTTCCATTACCATAAATGAAAAGTCAGTGGTCCAAAAGCTACACCACTGTTTCTCCCTTTCTGATAATTCCTGGTAACTACAAAAAAAAATAGTCTCTTATACACTTGTCTATTCTTATATTTCTACTTAAGTCATGTGATAAAAATCTTCTTTTTGTGATTGATTTACTTTACACAGCATAATGTCTTCAAGATCCATCTATACTGCAGCAGGCATACTTTATTTCTCACTAGCTAAGTGTATTCCACTGTATGCACAAAACATATTTTATCACCTATTGATAATCATTTATATTGTTTACACATCTTAGCTATTGTGAACAGTGTTGCAATGAACATCAATGCAAAATACCTGTCTTTGCTATCACATCTTCGGAGACTCTATGAGCAGAATTGATGGGTTACAGAGTAGTTCTGGTTTTACTTTTTGAGCAACCACATTGTTATCACAACAGTTGTACCATTTTGCATTCCCAGTAGCCATGGATAAGAGTTCCAGTTTCCCTATACTCTCACCAACATTTGTTCTTTTCTTTCTTAAAAAAAAAAAAAACACCCACAAAACTTAGC